TTTTGTAATGTTTACAGTACAGAAAAACTGATTCAAATTTATTAGTATATAATTATTTTTATTTTATGGTAGACATTTAATACACTCTATTTTAAAAATTATAATATATTGTTATTGACAAATTGTCACTCCACAGTGCATAAGCTGTAAAATCAACTCTTCCTGTTGGCTGAGATTCTGTATCCTTTGCTTAACACCAACATGCTCATCACAAACCCTAGCCTCTAGGAACCACCTAATTATGAGGCTAGTTTGTTTAGATTCCTATGTAAGACAACACGATATTTATCATTCTATGCCTGGCTGATTTCAGCCAGCATGATGTCATCCAACTCTATCAATGTTGTCATACACATATTCCTAGGCTGATTATATATATATATATACACATACACACACACACATATATATAATATCTGTGTCTATATACCACATCTCTATCTGTTCATTCACTGTTGGGCATTTACATCGATTCTGTATCTTGGTTTTTGCTTTGTTTTGTTTGTAATAGCATTACAATGAACAAGGGAGTACAGATATCACTTTGACACACTGATATTAGATTATTTGCTATATACCCAGAACTAAGGACACTAGACTGTGTATTTATTTCTACCTATGGCTTTTAAAGAGCTCTCCATACAACTTTGTAAAATGGCTGCATCCCCCTTTCTCTACATTCTAGTCAGCTCTTAGAATTCATGATTTTTATATCTTATATTTTATTCATTTGTGGGGGGTATTGCTGCGTGACAAGATTTTTTCTGGGGAGACACAATACGCATGTCTACTCATCCCAGACAGGGAGTCCACAACAGGCAAAAGTAGGGATACCACCAAAGTCCAATTTGGTGAACCAATGAGTTTTAATTGGGTTACTCAGAGGAATACAGATGAGGGATCACTTACAGAGGCAGAAATGACTCAAAGACAGTTACATCACCAAAACCTACCCCAGCATGGGTGACTTGTTCACCAAAACTGGGAAGCTGGAGCACACTGTATGGGCCCCAGGTAGCTCATAGGTTGGAGAACGTCCTTTCCGAGTGATTCAGTTGCTCTAAACCTCTTCCAGGCAGCTTGGCTGGCTTCCGGGTCTTCTTTGCAGGTAGGCGATATGGCTCACTCTGGGAGGGGGGACTAATGAATCTGGTCACTTTCAGGAACTTCCTGAAAGCTATTTTGAGTTGTTTACTGTCTGTTGTAAGGAACTTCCCTGTAGGATGAAACGTGTCAATCTAGGAGGAAACTGACACACACATTCCCTTCCATGTTTGGGTCCCAGAGATTGGGCTCAGATCCTCAAACTGGGCAATAGCCACTTCTGTTAGCTGAGCCACCTGTGGTCCCAGCATTCAGCTTTTTGATACAAAGCCATTCTAGCCGTTATGGAGTGATATCCTATGGTTGTTTTTATTATGTATTTACCTCATGATTAGTTATGGCAGATAGTCATTCTTGTACTAGTTGACCATCTGAATAAATGTCAGTTCACAACCTTTGCCCATTTAAACATTTTCGTCTTTTATCTTTTGTGTATGGATGTTTTGTCCATGTGTTTTTATGCACTACAGATGTACCCTGTACCCAAAGAAGCCAGCGGGCTTCAGACCACCTATAACTGGAGTTAGTTATGAGCCACTATGTAGGAGCTCGGAATTGAAACTTGATCCTCTGGAAGAGCACCCAATGCTCTTAACCACTAGCCATCTCTCCAGCTTACTTAGTTCATTTTTAATTGAGTAATTTCTTCCTTACTGTTGAGCTGAGTTTTGCTTTTTTTTAATATTGTAGTCCTTATGTCAGGTGGTGACTCGTCCACATTTTTTCCACTCCTTGAGCTGAATTGTTTCCTTTGATGAAGAGTCTTCACTGTTCTCCTACTTACCTACCTACTCTTGCTATTGTTGCTTGGGCTTTTGTGGTCATATCCAATCTTCTTGCCCACGCCAATGAACTAAGTACTTCACATATATTAACTCAATAAATGCTGTTTGACATGGGCTTAAAGCACAGCTTATGCGTTCATTCCTGTCCATTTCAACTCCTAAAAGTTCTTGCTTCTTTGGGCACATTCTTCATACGAGGCCATGTCAACTTTTCTTCCCATCACCAAGTGACCCCTCCTTGTATCTATTACAGACTGAATTGTGCCTTCTGCAAATTCATATGCTGAGTTCCTAAACCCTGTGCCTCAGAATGTATCTGGAGATAGAGTCTCTAGCGGGGTGACTAAGTTAACACACCACACTTAGAAAAAAGAGTGCAAATTTGACATGATTAGTGTCCTCATGAAAGGAAACTAAGGCATAGAAACACAGAAGGAAGACGGTGAAGACCTAGGGGGACGTTGGACTTGTACAAGCCATGGGGCAGTGGCTTCAGAAGTAACCAACAATCTGGCTGTGGTAGCACGTGCCTTTAATCCCAGCACTCAGGAGACAAAGGCAGGCGGATCTCTGTGGGTTTGAGACCAGTCTGGTCTACAGAACAAGTTCCAAGACAGCCAGGGCTACAAAGAAAAGCCCTGTGTCCAAAATAGATAGATAGATAGATAGATAGATAGATAGATAGATAGATAGATGATAGATGATAGATAGATAGATAGATAGATAGATAGATAGATAGATAGATAGCAAAAACAAGAAGGAGGAGGAGAAGTCAACATTATTGACACTTGATGAAAAGCTTTTAACGTTCAGAGCTGTGAGGAAATTAAGCTCTATTATATAAGCCGCAGTATCTGTGGTATCTGTCGTAGCATCGGTTGCAAACCAGTTCAGTACCTCATTGTTAAAATCTCCAAGGAGAGTGAATCTTATAGGTCAACACTGATGAGAGTCCTGGGCACAATCTCATCAACCCATAGGATGGGCTCTTCTGATCCAATACTCCCCCCACTTGGCCAATTAGCTGTTTCTAGGACATGTGAGGGTCAGGAGGGAAGGGACACATGTTAACTCAATGGTAGTGCATATTTAAGTACCCACCCTTGCCAAAATGGAAAGGACTAAGAATACCTTACATCACTAGGAATCTGGAGGGTAGGGAAGCCTACTAAGGTTAAGCCTGTATTTACGATTTCTTTCTATGGACCAAGGCAGAGCTAGTAAAACACACCAGGGTGTATATATCAAGAAATAGACAACTTCTACCACTTGTATACTGCTCTCTGCCAGCATTCACAACTGTACCTGGCACCTGCTAAGCACTGAAATAACACACTAATGCCATTTAATGTAGACAGCAAACTCCAACCAGAGACTTTCTTAGTGGGGTAGTCCCAAACAGCAGAAACCTTGGACAAGTGTTGCGGTGGATGATTGGACAGAAGACCTACATTTCAAGAAACATACTCAGCAATCTGCCCTTAACCGATTCTTCTCAATTTCTCTTGAATGTAAAGTAAAAAGAAATAAAACATATAAACATTGCAGAATGGTGAGGAGGTGATTCGTAGAGGAGGCTGGAGCTCCCCCTAGGGGCGGAGATGAGTTACTCCTCATTTAAAAATTTTAAAACTCATTTTAAAATGCAGTGCTGGCTTGGATAGAGATTTCTTTTCTTTTTTTTTAAGGAAAAAACATGATGTGGAACAACATCACAAAATAATAGAATTAGTGATAATCCTTTGGTTACACATCCATCCAAAAAACTGTCCCTTAAATACTGAGATGTAAGATACAAGGTATTTGAATATTGAAGTTCTAGCTTATTTATTTTCTTACAACTATTTATTTACCTCATGGGAGCTAGGAGAGAGGGTGGGAATACACAACACGGCATAGTTATGGAGGCCAATGAATACCTTGCAAGGGTAAATTTTCTTCTTCCACAAGTGAATCCTGGGGATTGAACTCAAGTTACCAGACTTGGTTCCAAGCTCCTTTGCCATCTCCCCCTACAATGGAAATTATCTCTCTAAAATGAGTCTTTGGTATACACGTACATAATTTGATATCATCACATAACAATTGAACTTCAAAGGGCATCTAGTCCCGTCAGGAAAAATCCCCAAGCTGTGTAAACAGTTCTAATAGTCAAGGAGAGAGGCACACTTTTGGCTTGTCTAATTTTTATTGCATATGTGTTTGTGGGTTGTTGTGGGGTTTTCTTTTGCAATTTACTTTAAAATATTTTTTGATTCTTTGATAATTTTATATAATGTAGTTTGATCCTATTCTTCCCCAAGTTCTACCCTTAATTCCTTCTAAGATCCATCCCTACCTACCTGTACACCCAGCTTTGTGTCCTGCTTTTAAAAAATAGCCCAGCCAGGCGGTGGTGGCGCACGCCTTTAACCCCAGCACTCGGGAGGCAGAGGCTGACGGATCTCTGTGAGTTCGAGGCCGGGCTGGTCCGACAGCCTCCAAAACAATACAGAGAAACCCTGTCTTATAAAACCAATAAAAAATAAAAAATAGCCCATCTATTTAATTTATGCTATCTATGTACTCCTGGGCATGGAGCTATACAGTGAAGCATGGCGGACCTACCAGGAGCCATGCCATTGAAGAAAACTGACTCTCCCTCCTCCAGAAGCCATCAGCAATCCTCAGGTCCTCAGTTAGGAGTAGGAACTCATGTGCCTTGTCTTAGGGTTTCTGTTGCTGTAAAGAGACACCATGACCAAAGCAACTCTCATAAAGGGAAACATTTAATTGGGCTTGCTTACAGTTTCAGATGTTCAGTCCATTATCATCATAATACTTAGATAACAGTATGCTTCTAAAGCACACAGCTTTGTGTACAATAAGATTACCATCTTCGAGACTAAAATCTATCAGTAAATTTGTGACTACCTGAATAAATTTCACTTCTGGTAACATTTTATGGGGAAATGACAAACTACCCTGAAATGAAATTCAGTTTGACGTCATGGTAGATAACACATAGGAGACATAAACCGTTGTGAGGGTCGTTATTTTTTTAAGATTTATTCATTTATTATGAATACAACATCCTGCCTCCATGTATGTCTGCACATACCAGAAGAGGGCGCCAGATCTCATTACAGATGGTTGTGAGCCACCATGTGGTTGCTGGGAATTGAACTCAAGACCTCTGGAAGAGCAGTCAGTGCTCTTAACCTCTGAGCCATCTCTCCAGCCCGTCAGGGTCGTTATTATGGATACCTGTGATAAAGAGAAAGGAGACGGGGAGTCAGAGGTTCAGTTTGTGAGTTCGCAAAGCGACCAAGAATAAACGACCTTATGCTCAATACCAAGTCATAAAATGATGCCACAGGGACAGATTCCTCTTCCGATGGCAAGAGTCTTAGACATTTTATAGAGATTTAATCCTAGAAGTAAGGATGCTGGCAACTGAAAAGCTTTCCAAAGTAGCCAGAGAGGATGACTCTCTCTCTCTCTCTTTCTCTCTCTCTCTGGTCTCTAGAAAGGCCGCCTCTCTTCCTTTTATCTGGCCTCCTACAAATGTCCACTACAAATGTCCACCACATGCCAAAGTCCTTGGACAATAGTGTTTCAGCAGCACACAGAACATAGAAACCCTTTTATGGGGGCTGGAGAGATGGCTCAGAGGTTAAGAGCACTGACTTCTTCCAGAGGTCCTGAGTTCAATTCCTGGCAACTACATGGTGGCTCACAACCACCTTGAATGACATCTGGTGCCCTCTGCTGGCATGCAGGCAGAAGAGTGTATACACAATGAATAAATAAAATATTAAAAAAAGAAAGAAAGAAACCCTTTTATGTGTAGGAGCTCACGGACCATAAATTCGCAGTAAGAATATGACTGTGGGGCAGCAGCATAATTTAATGAGCATCCATCTGAGGCGCATTACAGAATGTTGGATGACGAGGTCAACTCTGCAAAATGTAAAGGAAACTGCCAGTGTTACAAGGGCTGAATTTAGGACTTCTTAGCTGGGACCTTTAGGTCCTATAAGGAGCCTAAGCCCCCACCTCCTCCACTCCAATACAGTAGTGTCCTTTTTGGCTTCTTGTACCAATGAGCAGATGGTAATTCGCAGACCACAACTGCTTCATAGCTGTCTCTCAGACTCCCTGACCATCCCACGGCCTCTGGAATAACGGGCTCAGTGTTGGACATCATTCTTAGCTAAAT